AATCAAGAAGTCTGTTTTTGGAAACAAATCCTACAAGAAATGCCAAAGAAGTCATTAATCTTAAATTGAATGATAAGATACAGTATCTTGAAGCCATRCAGAAAAATAGGAAACAATGTTAAAGACAGCTATATAGGTAAATGTATAAGCTACTACTACAGCAGAGCTTGTAACTCTTTATATTTGGTTTAAAATAAAGTGTAAAAGCAATATTCATATATTTGCCAAAGGGCACTGCATTTGACCATTCCCCAATGCTATACAAAAATAAGTGGTACGTTATCATGGAAAAAATCTTATTTAACACCAGGTCTGGAGGTTATAACTACAATATCCTGATAGCACCATCAGTTGGTCTCTGGGGGCTACCCACTGATCAGCATAACATGGGATGGCACCAAGGGGCAGAATGTGGAAGAGGAGAAACACGCACAGAAAGAGAGCAAAGAGGGGCAGTTTTGCTTTTTGCATAGCAACTTATTTCCTAAAAACTTCATTCCAAGAGACTAGCATTAATCCCTTTTGAGAGTGGTGCCCCCAATGACACTTCCCTCCAACTAGACTCACCTGTTAGATCTCAACATTGTCATAGTAAGAACTAAGCAGGCAATGCTTAAATGATAGGGGGACAAAATCACACCTGAATCAGAGCAGGCACACACTATAAAAAAAGTAGCCTGTGGCAAAAGTATGAAAGAATTTAGGGGAAAAGCTGAAAATAAGCAGAATTTTGTATGTTAATGAAACTAAACTGCTATGAATTCAAACCAATTTTTATAAAGCTGTTAATTAAAACTCATTAAGGAAAAAAAAAACATGTCCAAAAGAAAATTAAAATGATACACTGGAAAATCAATTCATCATTTAAAAAGCAGTAAAAAAAAAAATGGAAAAACACAAAAACATAGCCATAGAAAATAACTAGCAAAATATCATAAGTCCTTTTCAATCAGTGTTATTTTAAATGCAAATATTGCAAAAATGGATTGAAAGGGATGTGGTAGAACACACTTGTAACCCCAGCAACTCAGGAGGCTTAGGAAGGAGTGCAAGCTTGAGAACAGCCTCATCAACTGAGCAGTGCCCTTTCTTGCAAGTAACTAAACAAGGGTTGGGGATGTCACTCGGTGGTAGAGCACCCCTGGATTTAATCTAGCACTACATAAAAAAAAAAAAATCCAGCTGTGCACAAGAGAGTCACTTTAGATTTAAAAACAAAAATTAGTTGAGAATGAAAGCACTACACAGAAACAACCACCATAAGGCAGCTGGAATGGCTTTGTGAATACCAGAAAATATAGACTCTGTGGAGAGAAAAAAAAAGCTGTTGAAGAAAGGGAAAGGCCATTATGCGTTAGCAAAAGTTGTAAATATTTATACATCTAACCACAGAGTCCCAAAATATATGAATGAAAATTATCAGAATTAAAGGAAAAAAGACTTATCAAAATGGTTGAATACCATAATACCCCACTTTCAACAAGGCATAGAATGTACAAGGAAAATAAGATCGATTTTTAAAAGAAGGACAGAAGAATATAAATCAAATAGAACTGAGGGACTGTATAGAGGACTGCCCAATAAGGCAGAGTGCACAAGAACTTGTAAGTGCTCCTGGAACACTGTCCAGGAGAGACCATATTGGGCCTCAGAACGCTTTAAATGACAATAAACATAAAAAGACTGAGATCAGACTACATGTCTTTTATGATCATAATAAATGAAGCTAGCAAAAAATAATAAAAGGAAAACTAAAAAATTAACAAATATGTAGAAAATAAATAGCATAAAGAAATAAAAAGTAAAATTAGAAAATACTTTAAGCTGAATGAAAAAGATAATACAAAATTGCCAAAACATATGAGGTGAGAAAAAAACAATTATCAGAGAGAATTTATAGCTATAACCCTGTTATAAAATATAAATGAATAACCTATATTTTACACTTTAAAAGGCAAATTAAGCTAAATCCAAAGCTAGCAGAAGGTGAATATAATGAAGACCTGAGCAGAAATAAAAAAGAGAAACTAGAATAGAAAATAGAGGAGCAGAGGTTGTGGCTCAGTGGTAGAGCACTCGCCTTGCATGTACGAGACCCTGAGTTTGATCCTCAGCATCACATAAAAATAAATAAGTGAAATAAAGGTATCATGACCAACTAAAAATAAATATTAAAAAGAGAAAGTAGAATAAAAAAAAATGGCTCCTTGTAAAGATGGATAAAATTGAAAGCATAAGAAAAAACACTCAAATTATCAAAATCAAACTGGGGACAGACATCAATACTGAATTCACAGAAAAAAAAAAGATAATTTAAAAAGAATACCATRAACAACCATATGTCAATAGATAACCTAGATGACATGGACAAATTTTTTAAAATAAAACTGACTCAAAGGGTTGGAATTGTGGCTCAGTGGTAGAGGGCTTGCCTGGCATGCATGAGGCCCTGGGTTCAATCCTAAGCACTGCACGTGAATAAAGATCCACTGACAACTAAAATATATTCTTTTAAAAAGTGACTCAAAAAAAGAATAGGGGGCTGGGGTTGTGGCTCAGTGGTAGAGCACTCGCCTAGCATCTATGAGGCCCTGGGTTTGATCCTCAGCACCACATAAAGACAAATAAATAAAGGTATTGTGTATATCTGCAAACAAAAAATAATATTAAAAAAAAGAACTGAAAATCTAAATATACCCATAATAAGAGACTGAATCAGTAATCAAAGAAAAATAAATAACATGTAGGTAAGAAATGAAATTAAACTATGTTAGCAGATTAAATGACTTTGTGAATAGAAAACCATCAGGAATCTACAAAAGAACTAACAGCATACAAAAGTGCAGGATCCAAGATGAATACACAAAAAATAAATTCAATTTCAGTAAATTATGATAGAATCAAATAATTAAATAGTAATAACTTTATTAAAAATGAAAAACTTGCAAGTCTCTGGACATTAAAAATCCCACTGAGGGGCTGGATWTGTGGCTCAAGAGGTAGCGCGCTCGCCTGGCATGCGTGCGGCCCAGGTTCGATTCTCAGCACCACACACAAACAAAGATGTTGTGTCCACCAAAAACTAAAAAATATAGAAAAAAAATCTCACTGAAAAATTGTTAAAAGAACTAAGTTAATAGAAAGGCATCCCATATTTATAGAAGACTTAAGGTTAAAATGACAAATATCAATTAGATGCACACATTGAGGAAAACCCATCAAAATTTCCACCTGCCATTTTTGCAGAATTTTAAATGTGATCCACTGTTTAATACTGATGTAAAGGGAATTGTGTACACAAAATACTCAAAAAAGTACAAAATTGAAAGATTGTACTTACAATTCCAATTCTTAATATATATATCTTCAGTATTGCTCAAACTGGATATTCATCTCTCACTCTATAAAATCATCTCAAAATGAATAAAGACCTTTCTAGGGGGGATTGAACCCTGGGCACTTGAGCACTGAGCCACATCCCTACCCTTTTTAATAAACTGGTCTTGCTGAGTTGCTTAGGGCCTAAGTTGCTGAGACTAGCTTGAAGTTCCCACTCCTCTAGCCTAAGCCTCCAGTCACTGGGATTACAAGCATGCATCACCAATATATTACCTCAAAGACAGAAACTACAAGGATAAAACATAGGGTAACACTTACGACTTACAGCATGATAAGGTTTTTATATAACCATAAAAGCACAAAAGACAAACACAAAAATAAATAAATGGGATTACAAACCAAAAGAGCTAGGCACAACAAAGCAAACAACTAAAGAAGTGGAGAGAGGACTAACAAATGGGAGGAAATCTTTGACAGCCATTCATGCAATGCATGAGTAATATGCAGTAATGTAAAAAAAAAAAAAATCTAAAACTGGAACAATAACATGTAATCCAGAGGTGGGAGTTGTGGGTCAGTGGTAGAGCACTCATCTTGCACATGTGAGGCCCTGGGTTCAATCCTCAGAACCACATAAATATGAATAAATAAATAAAATAAATGTATTTAGTCCATCTACAACTTAAAAATTAATAAATATTTTTAAAAATGTAATCCAATCTAAAAGTGGGCAAATTATCTGACCAATTTTTTCATAGAAAATACAAATAGCTGATAAAATGTTGAGTATAACAAGCCTTCAGGGACATGTGAATCAAATCCACAGTGAGGTATCATCTCACTGCAGTTAGAGGCCATTTGCCAAGAGGGGAAAAAAACTAATTAATGCTCATGAAGATGTGGAGGAAAAGAATTTGCACACTGTTGGTAGTTGTAAATTTGTGCAGCCACTGTGGAAAACTGAAGTTACACATCCTGCTTAATTTTAACCTAAAAAAAAAACGACTCTGTGAATTCACTAAATTTTATGATGTAACATAACAAATTGAAAAAACATAAATTACAATGACTTAGTGTTCTCCCAATGAGAAGGAAATAATGGAATATACTAAAAAGACAAAATATGTATTAACATGACCATTGTGGAACTGTACCTTAAAACTAGTTTCTAAATAACACCAAATGTTCTAACCATCATTCATAAAATCCCTGAACAGGTGATTAAGTAGTGTTTTTATAACATTCAAGTCACTTATATTAGGTATTACATGAGAAAAAAGAAAGGAGAACAATGCAAATTTGGAGAAATGAGATCATTGTACCTAAAATAGGTTTTGTCTTTTTTTATTTTCTTTAGGTATCTGAGGTTTCTAGTTTACTACTAAATCATCACCAATCTTGAAATTCTTTCAGTTGAATGATTCCCTTTTCTTCTAAAAACTGGCATAAGAAAACACATGCACACACACACACAGTGCCATGAGATTTACAATAAGATTATAATATTTGTATAATTAAGTCAATATGAATCAAACCTTTGTTTTGTTTTGTTAATACACAGAAGTGACACATGGAAAAAATACTATAGGATAAAATTTAAGATACACAAGTCTGGATTTATTGGCATTTCTATTTCTCTCCCATAACAGTCTTAATTTACAACTAAATACAAAAAGAGAAATATTTAAAATACAATTTTTGATAATATTTGCCACATAATTTGAAGCTTAATTACACTTTCTAAATGGTGTAATAACCATATATATCCAATAACATCTTCTATTATCTGTTACCTATAACCTTTAGGAAAGCAAAATTCTTTTATGCCTGGCAGAATAACATGTGGCTCACTATATGGCAGTGTTAACACACTGAAAAGCATTCACTTTATTTTATTTGAAATACTTTGCTCATATTATGCATGAATGTTAACTATTTCAAATTCCATCATGAAGTCTTTAGAAAAATACAGATTGAATATTTCATTATGATTTCTCCAACTTTCAGGACTGAGTATATTTATGTAATCTTTAATTTATAAGTTGATGTCTTAGAAATGTGCTACCACACTATTCTATTATCTGAGGATTTGCATCAACTAATGAAGTCCAGTAAATTTTAATCAACAGTTAAAGGCAATGCTACGTTCTCCTTTTACAGAATTTCTCTCCATTAATAATTCTCATTTACATCTAGATATAAAGACTTTGCTATAATTTTCTCATTTGTCAAGATTTGATCTCCATTATAAACATTTTGCTGTTATATAAAGCATATATTTTGGACAAAGGTCTTTCCACAGACACTTCGTTCATGAGGTTTTGATACAATATAAATTTTCTGATGTAGAACAAAGTATGAAGTTTGATAGTCATTGACACATTATCTTTTTGTTCATTGTAAATGAACCTTTATCCATTTATATATGATGCTGAGAATCGAACCCAGTGCCTCACACAATAGGCAAGCACTCCACCACTGAGCTACAACCCAAGCCCCCTGACACATTATCGTTTTATAGTTTCTGTACTATGAATTCTCTGATGTTGAAGAAGATGTGAACAACTACTAGCCACATTCCCTACGTTTGCATTGTCCCCTCCAGGATGAATCCCTGATGATGAGTAAGGATTTAGTTTTGATTAAACGTTTTCAAACAACATTTTCATTTGGAATGCCTCTCTCCGCTATGAGTCCTGTGGTGGCGAGTTAGGGTTGGACAAGACTTAAAAGCTTTGCCACATTCTTTACATTTGTAAGGCTTCTCTCCTGTATGGATCCTCTGATGCTGAGTAAGGGTTGAGGTTTGGTTAAAAGCTTTGCCACATTCTTTACATTTGTAGGGCTTCTCTCCTGTATGAATTCTACGGTGACTAATAAGGTGTGAGTTTATATTAAATGCTTTTCCACAGTCTTTACATTTGTAGGGCTTCTCTCCTGTATGAATTCTACGGTGACCAATAAGGTTTGAGTTTTGAGTGAAAGCTTTGCCACAGTCTTTACATTTATAGGGCTTCTCTCCAGTATGAACTCTCTGGTGTTGAGTAAGGTGTGAGCTTCGTTTAAAAGCTTTGCCACACTCCTGACATTCATAGGGCTTCTCTCCAGTATGAATTTTCTGGTGCTTATTAAGGTGTGAAGTTCTAATGAAAGTCTTGCCACATTCTTTGCATTTGTAGGGTTTCTGTCCAGTATGAATCCAGTGGTGTTGAGTAAGTGTTAGAGAATCCCTAAAGGCTTTGCCACATTCATTACATTTGTATGGTCTCTCTCCACTATGAATTTTAAGGTGTTGAGTAAGCGTTGCAATTTGTTTAAAAGCCTTACCACATTCTTTACACTTGTAGGGCTTCTCCCCAGTATGAATCCTGTGGTGTTGAATAAGGTGTGAACAATCCTTAAAAGCTTTGCCACATTTCTTACATTTATAAGGTCTCTCTCCAGTATGGATCCTCTGATGTTGAGTAAGGTTTGAGTTTCGATTAAAAGCTTTACCACATTCTTTGCATATGTAGGGTTTCTCTCCAGTATGAATCCTCTGGTGTTGAGTAAGGGCTGAACAGTCTTTAAAGGGTTTGCCACATTCTTTACATTTGTAGGGCTTCTCTCCAGTATGAATTCTATGGTGTTTAATAAGGTGTGAACACTCCTTAAAAGCTTTGCCACATTTTCTACATTTGTACGGTCTCTCTCCAGTATGGATCCTCCGGTGCTGAGTAAGGTTTGAGTTTCGATTAAAAGCTTTGCCACATTCTTTGCACTTGAAAGGTTTCTCTCCAGTATGAATCATCCGGTGTTGAGTAAGGGTTGAGGTTTGATTAAAAGCTCTGCCACAGTCTTTACATTTGTAGGGCTTCTCTCCAGTATGAATTCTCTGGTGTTTAATAAGGTGTGAGCTTATATTAAATGCTTTGCCACAGTCTTTACATTTGTATGGCATCACTCCAGTTTGAATTCTCTGGTGATTAATATGATTTGAGCTTTGATTGAAAGCTTTGACACATTCGTTAAATGTGTAGGGCTCCTCTCCACTATGAATTCTTCTGTGTTGAGTAAGGCTTGAAATTTTCTTTGAAGTCCTTTCACATTCTTTACATGGGTAAGGTTTGTCTTCAATATTGATATTAACTTTTGAGCTCTGATGACAGACTTTCCCATGTTTATTAACTTTGCAAAGGTTCTTTATAAAATGAACACACTGGTGTTTTCCATGATTTGAACCAAGGCTAATATTTTCATGAGTTTCACTGCATTCATAATTTTTTTCACCAATATACATACATTGGTAATTACATAGGGTAGAGACTTGGCTAAAGTTCTTGGAGGTTTTATTATAAACATATAGAACTTTCCAAATATCTTTATCTGAATTTTGATTATGCAATAATGGGGAAGCATGAACCTCCCCACTTTGATTAAATCTGTATATTTTGGCACAAGGAGGAACAATTTGTTGTTGATTGCAAAGTAGCAGACTTTTTGAGAAGTAACACTCAACATGATCACATTCAGAAATTTGTTCTTTATTTTTAACTCTCTTATCTATACAAATGTTTGAGTCAAAGTTTAAATCAATGCTGCAATTGAAATTGTTCATGTTGTTAACTGAAGCTTGGGACAGACTCCATTTCAGACTTTCCAAATTTCCTTTCAGAGGGAAGATATGGTTAAAAAACTGCTGTGGATATGTATTTAGAAACACAGAGAGCTCCTCAAAAGTGACTGGAAWAAATTGAGCTGTTTTCTGAGATGCTATATGTTCTTGATGTCTGCTGACATTGACATTTTCATCATGGATAGTCATCAAACATTTGTTATGCTCATTATGACAAGATTTCAGAACTTCACTCTCTCTGACACTTTCCCAGTCTTTCCTTAGATGTAAATTTTCAATACCTTGACTTCCATGTCTTCCCTTGATGACTTTTTGAGATAAATGTTCTGGCAAAAAGTCTTGGACTTGATGAGAATATACAGCTGAAAGAAACAAAAATAATCAATTATTTCACTTTCTAGACTGGTGAATATAATTTGCAAATATATGAAATTATACAAAGGTGGGACATCAATAAGGGATGTCCCACCTTCATATAGTAAACCCATGACTTTCATTATTCCAGAGATAATGTGAACTTCAAAACCATATTCTGAAAGAACTGATCTGTAAGAATCTTCAAAACTGCCTGAGACTTCACAGCGCCACAGATGAGCACATCGCTACAGAGACGTGCAGTAGACGGAGGAAAGGGTTACTTTTATCAACTCAACTGTGCAATTAGGGAAAAAATATATCACCTACAACATTCCGACTCAACTGTGCAACTAGGGACAAAATAGCAATACTTTCTCTCTCAGTAAGAAAAAGGAACAGAAAAGCCTGCAAATATTTCTGACTTTATTGGGGACTTTCTAAACACTAGTTTCTGTCTATACAGAGACTTGGAGCTAAAAGGTAGATTTTGGATGACAGTACCCCAGAAACTCAATAGAGCAGAAGAACCCATGGACTTTTAAGAAGAAATATGAGCAAACTTTTATGATGGGAAACATACATATATACTTCTGGAGAAATATTCTGAAAAGAAAATTGAGAGGCAACAACAATCTCATAGAGCAGATATCAATATCACCTAGCCAAAGCTAACCCATAGGGATCAACCAAAATGACTTGCTTTATATTTGTTTCAATTTTTTCTATTTATTAATTTCACTGACAAGTCAACCTTTATATACTTACCATGTACATCATGTTTTAAAGTATATATACACATACATGGTAAAATGACTAAATCTAACACATGCATTATTTTGTATAATTAGCATTTTTGTTATTAGAAAACTTTACGTCCATTCTAGTAGCACTTCCTAGGCACACATTACACTACCCGGGCATGGTGGTGCACAACTATAATCCCAGTGGCTCAAGTGGCTGAGGCAGGAGGATAGCAAGTTCAAGATCAGCCTCTGCAACTAGTGAGACCCTGTCTCTAAATAAATAAATGAATGGGTTGGGGATGTAGCTCAGAGGCTATCACTGATACAATTCTCAGTAGCAAAAATAAAATAAAATAGCATTCGCCCTTTGTAGAGTAGAACTCTTGACTTATTTACACCCATTAAGATGAAATCTTGCATCTATGACTAACATTACAATCCCCTAAGTCCCATGCCCTGGTAACCACCATTTTATGTGACATTTGAGTTCTACTTTGTCAGTTTCTATGTGAGTCTACTAGTGCAGAAACTGACCTTCTGCCTTATTTCTTTTCTCCTTTTCTTGGGGGAGAGATGAGGAAGGGGGGTACTTGTGATCGAACCCAAAGTTTCTTTACCACTAAGCTATATTTGCAGTCCCCCACCTTTTAAATGTGTGTGTGTGTGTGTGTGTGTGTGTGTGTATTTTTTGAGACCAGGTCTCATTAGCTGCTGAGACTCATCTCAAATGTGCATTCCTCTAGTCTCAGCCTCGACTAGTGAGGATTTCAGGAATGTGTCATTTCATCTAGCCTATTTTTTGTGTATTTAATAACTTTAATACTCCTTTCCCAAATGATGTTAATAATCTACTGTTGGCTGGTTTCCAAGTGAAAAATGTCCAGTGAAAAATAACAGAGAACACAAAGAAAAAGTGAAAAATGACTCCATCAAAGCAACAAAATAAAAGAGTGGGAATTGACCATTAGGAAACTATTATAGATAACCTACAGAACACTAAGTAGCCATTTGAAAATGTTCAACAACTAAACCAGAACAATAGGAAAAATAAATGAAATTCAGACGAAAAATTCCAACATAAGCAATTAGAAACTGTGTAATAGAATTCCTTAAGAAATAATGTTTGAGGGCTGGAGTTGTAGCTCAGTGTAGAGCACTTGCCTAGCACGTGCAAGGGACTGTTTGATCCTCAACACCACATAAAAATAAATACAATAAAGGCATTATGTCCATCTACAACTAAAAATATTTTTAAAGAGTTTGAGAAATTAGAAATACAAAAAAAAAAATAAACAGATATCCAACTTTAAGAATTTCAATCATCTCTAGAAAAAAGCAAAAGATTGAATATAAAGCACATTATACTCAAAGTGTCAAAGTCACAAAGAAAATTTTGAAAGGACCAAGATAAAAGAGGTTTGTCAGAAGTCTTCCAGAAAAGAATAGGGGAATACAGTCAAAAGGGTGAAGAAACAGAGCTAGGAACCAAGAATACTATATCCAGAAATATCATGCTTCAAAGGTGAAAATAAAGACTTTTAAGATATGCAAATACTCAAAAAGTTCCTTTCCTCTAGACCTGGTCCTACAAGAAATACTAAAGGAAATCCTTCCCATTAGAAATAAAATAAACCTACACAACAACATAAATAATTTGAAATTTTAAAGCTTTTTATAAAAAATAAATATAAAATTCTATAGAACTGTAATAATGATAACTTAAAACAATTTTGCTACAGAATTTAAAAGACAAAAGCACAAAATTATCATACCTCTATTAATGCACATGCCATTTCCAAACAGCTGTGACATCAATAACCTAACACTAAGAGAATATTTAAAGAAAATGATTTTTATACAGTATTGACATTAATTTATTATCACTTCAAAATACCATGTAAGCTTAAAGTGCTGTTTTGTATAATCAAAATATAATAAAAACAAACAAATAAGCACAGAAGATATAAGGGGAACAAGGGGAGAAACCAAAGCATGTCACTATAAAAATTAATGAACCACAAATTAAAGCAGTTAAGAAAAGTAGGAAAAGCAATTATAAGAAAAAAATAACTTAAAATGGCAATAGTAAGTGCTTCCTTTTCCGATATATATCAAGTATAAATGAATTATTATTAGGCACTTTTTATAATGTATGACAAGATTAACAGGGTTAAGCCCCCAAATATCCAACTGAATGCTATCTAGGACTATGTTGCATAGTATGTCATCTTTCAACTTTCCTGTCTATATTTTCAAAGATTGATGTTAGTTATACAAGATTTTTACTATTTTTGTAGTATCATAAAGAGTGGTCCCTTTTGTGGGGATCCACTCTAAATGACCACACCTTCCAGTCCTGAAACACCAGGCTCTGATCAGTCACTACATTTCGTGGTAACTTGGGCGTTGTCCCAGTTTGGATAGCAAGGCATGGCTCCAGGAGTAGGTGTCACCCAGCGGGGTTGAGTCCCACTCACCTATTCCTTTGTAACCCTACCCCTTGCCTCATTTGATGGCTTCTTCCCAATAAAAGGGTTCAGCATGTGCTCCTCTCTCTTCYCATGAGAGGAGCCATCACAGCACCCAAAGGAAAAGGTATTTCTCTGTCTCTGTAAATTATTTCCTGCAACCCAGTTCACCTGGAGTGACCTGAGTGTTTAGTCGTGGAACTCAACAATTGGTGGCCCGTACAGAGACTCCAGGGTGAATTTTAGAAATTTAATGGATTTGGAATTTCTCTCCAGAAGTTAAGCATGCTTAGGATTTCAGAGTATTGTGGGCTGAACTGTAGATAGTAAGTGAATTAGAAGAAACATCTGTGATGTTAAACTTTTTTAACATCTGGGAATATTTCATCTTTAGAAAGATAAAATATTTTATTTTTGCAATTCTAAAGACTGTAGTTCTCTCCCATGGGAAAAGCACTTTTGTGTACCTTTATGGATTGTTTTTGTAAATCTTTATATTTTAAAATATTAGGTATTAAGAGTTACATGCTAAAAACCTGTGCTTGGAGAGTATAAGAGAGAAAAACAAAGAACTTTTTGTGGTGAGACWGGAGATATTCTACTTCTAGAGAGGTATACTTGTTTTTCTGTTGTTTTTTAAAGGTACTCAAACAATTTATATTGCACTTTGTGCCGCATTCTTGTCCTACAGGATTAGAATGGCTACAACTCAGCCACTGTGGACAAAAGACTTTAGCCGCTGTTCCCTATGGGGTCTGTAACTAGACCCACCGCCATCAGTGCTTTTAACCCTGAAACCATCTGGCCTGGGTGCCAAACAGGCAAGGTGTTAGACTGCCCTACGATCTGATAGTAACGCTGGTGTCTGCCTTGAAACTCACCTTTAAAGTGCCCACGTGCTACAAGGGAAAGTACAAAAGACAGAAGGACACACACTGCAAGCACAGGTCAAAGAGTCAAGGCAAACCACTCCCTCAGAAGGGAAATGCAAACAAACCAGATGGAATGCAACTGGCTCCAGAAGCCTTTGCCCCAACAATGGGCAGCTGGCTCCATGGCTACTGCACCTGGCTACTGCCCAAAGCCTAGCCAGCCCCACAGGCTTCCTGGTCCCACCGCCAATGTTTTCACAGGCTTCCCATTGGTCCTTCTAATGTCACTCAGACAGGACTTCTGGTCCCGCCTCCCAGCCACTAACCTGTACTTCCTGTTTCCCACAGACCTGCTACTGAAACTACACAGAGCCTGCATTTTTAAGAATGCCCACCTGTAAATGCTAATGAAAAGTATCTTTTTCAGACAAAATCTAATTCCTCAGGTTTCTACGTTGCAACCCTAACCCTGACTTGCTCTCAAAGCTAAAAATAACTTGATTTTTTATCCCTCAACACCTTTATTTAAGACCCTTCCTTTTCCTCTCTATGGTAATATTGCTAAATAATGTTCTATTGATGAGAGGTATCAAACATATGCTTCTTTGTATTTTGTTTTCAATTTTGAAGGCTATGAGGATGCATTTGCTTGTCCCAGGAACAAAAGCTGGCAATGTTTCTGTGATAATCAAGAAATCCTTATTCTCATTCCTGAATATAAAATTACAAGAAATGAGCAAATATCTACACAAGGATCTTATTACATGATGTCACAAATATAAAAATGTGCACTACTCATCCAAAGAAAATTAAAATGGATCCAAATATCTTAAGAACCATGTGGTAACATAAAGCTTATACAATCATAAGTTTTGTCCTTATTCTTAATACATATTTTTCTAGGTATTTGGATAGCCTATAA